ACGTTTCGCCTTCTTCAGCAAAGTGAGTGTTTTGCACTCTCTAAGTATAAATTGATACAGACAACTGACTGAGCAATCAGTCAGTTCCTGTATATCATAATCAGTCTTTTTTTGCAAACGAGTGTATATAGGAATTGTTTTACTGATATACTTTACAACATACAGCATAATACTAAGCGCGGAAGAAAAGAAATGTTTTGTCAAGTAACTTTTAAGGTGTTTCGATCGTAATAAATCGCGCTTCGCGCGTAGTTTTAAACTCCAACTACGTCGCAAATTTCCGATCCATTGCACTCAAATTTTCACAGAAGTAACAGTGATTATCGATAATTCTTGTTGATAAATTCATTTGCAAAATGAGCAAAATGATGTACATTCGAACAAATCGAAATTTTAGGTTAAGATTTTATTGAAACTTCGTCAGTATATCAATTATGTTATTTTAAAAGAAATGATTTTGAAAATTTTATTTTAATTTATCAAAAAGAATTATCGATAATCACTGTGACTTCTGAGAAAGTTTGAGTGCGATTAAATCGAAATTTGCGACGTATTTGGAGTTTAAAAATACGCGCGGAACGCTATTTATTACGATCGAAACACCTTAATACTTAGATGATGGTTGAATGATAGTTATCTCTCAATTCACAAGCAGTTTCTACACTTTTTCAGCTACCCCAATGATAAAAATTCTAACTTGCAATTTAAGCGTTAATATAGGTTTTCATGTAGAGGGAACTTAAATGAAAATGTTATCTTAACAGGTTCTTGAAATCAATGTCCTTTACTGTATAATGTACATGTTATAAAACTCATTAATATTCAGGGAACGAAATAGAAATCATAACCTATAAAGAGAGTTGTAAATCCACATACAGATCGCCCGCTCATATTGTATACATGTATATTACAAAAAAATACGACGGTAAATTTGATTTGAAATTTGATTTCCGGAACAATTTGAAATATTTTGGAAACAATTTCGCGCCCAAGTTTAAATTTGGGCTATATTGCGATTTGGGACAAAGGTAAATCTTTCAAAACGTTATTAAAGCATCTTAATGAGGATGAAATACATTATTATGCAATATTCTATTATAGAAAGTAATTGTTCACATGTGTGCTTTTTTCCTGAACATCCCATAATTTCTTCGTAACTCAGTGTGGCGGCCATATTGATAATAATGAGATCTATAACGCTCAAGAAAGTTGGATTGATAATTAGTCGTTAAGTTGAAAATAATGCTTTAGACTCAATGCTACCTTGATTTATTCTTGGTAGTTCCTTCTGTCAGCCTCAAGTCAGGGCTCCACTTAGCGTCACAAACGCCGAGCGTACTCGTCTTGAGGATAAGTAACAGTGGAAAATAGGAAGACATACCACGATAAACTATCATGGATTTGTTAAATACACTATTCGTACAACCGTCTCCAGAAGTGAAGACATTGGCTTTCGAAAACGCGCAGCTAAACTGACCTTAGAAGTGGACGGTTCAAAAAGTGAACGACTCCGTATAATCGTCTGTCTTTAAAAAAGTGTGTTTTTTTATATTATGTTACTCAGAGACAGAATTTCTCATGTTTCTCAGTTGATAAGTGGGTTTATTTTAATGTATTTAATATAATATTGTTATAAGTACGTCCATTCAAACTATCAGTACCAGAAGTCGACATAGTACCCATGGCTAAGTAGTAAAGCTCATGCATTTTTAATGAGAGTCTATTTTAGTGACTTCCATTATAAGGACGTTGCCTTCGGTTGCCAAAGAAACTTAACCGCTTCCAACTAACTTGTTATTGACCTCTGTTTGATCAGAAAGTTCCGTTTGACGTTTTAGATATATCGACCGGATAATTTGCACTTTTGCCACAAGGACTACAAGCCAAATTAATAGAAAACTGTTTTCCTACAAGCAGATTTATTTTTGAATTCACACGAGCGCCCTTATTGGCTCTAGTAAATTTGCGCCAGTCTGACTCAAAAAGAAAACAACACAATGGTGATCGATGCAAGCTTGTATCAACGGTCGAAATTGAAACGGCTCTTGATCTCGTCTCGTACTTTAAAACTTTCTTTACCTTCGACACAAATGTTTGACAATAATCGGACGGCAAAGTTTACACTATCGGTCCATAAAACACAGTCGATGGCGCACCGAGGAACCAAAAGATCCAAAGTACCAGGCCAAACCTTGGCATATGCGCACAGGTAACCCAGGCTCAGCTTAGTATGAAATATGTCGTTCGCACATATTTTTTGCCTAAATAATATCATTCTAACATAAATAAAACGTCTTTTACCTTCCTGGTTGAAAATCTTTCGTTTTGAAGAAGTTTTACGCCATTTTTGATATGCCATTGTTTAACCTGCAAGGTGGGAGACTGGACGCAAAGATTTCCAACAGTACTTGCACTCGATTTTTTTGTCAAAAACCATTCTTTTGTCCACATTTAACTGCTCCACAATATACATGAATGTCCAAGGATTCTTTTGAAGCTCTTTGTCAATGAATTTCTTTTCGGGAAGTTATTTTTACCGTTGAATTCTAATATTCGGACTAAAGTAATGCTGACTATAACTAATTTGGTCCGGAGGCACAGTGGTCCCAAAAGAAGAGAGTATTCTCAAATTGGATTGGCTGATATCTAACAAAAGGCAATAAACATTTTGAATCTACGGGGGACATTGCTCAATAATTTAGAGACGAGGTGGGGGAGGGTACAATGGAAAGCAACCAATGAGTTGTGCTAACGACATAATTTATACTAAGTTATWGAGCCTGGGTTACCTGTGATATGCGGCGCCACATATGCGCGGGGTACCATGCGCGGTCCTGACGCAAGTTAACTGTAGCCAATGAGCGTACTCGTTAAATTCAAAACTAAATAGCCAATAACAGCGAAGGACATATAAACTGGTACATGTGACACTATTTTCGTCGCAGCTCGAAGGCGAAAATACACCAGTTTCGCTATCGGTAGTCTCCTCTCGCAACCGTTATGAGACTCGTTCCCACGTCGTTAGAGGGGGAGGGACATGGGAACGAGCCTCATAACGGCTGCCAGAGGAGACTACGCCACCGGCTGCCTTCAGTCTAAAAAATCTCCTTGGAATCATATGTTGTAAAACTCACTTTATTTCCATAGGAACTGCCTACACTTTGCTATACTCTGAACAAGTACACCACTTCAAGGAACTTATTAGAAAGACTGGCCGTGATAAGATACCAAAGCATACAGTTAAAGATACTGAGCTACAGCCATTGGTAGATAGATATCAAACTGCATTGCAGTTGCTTGAACAAACAGTGGTGAACGAGAAGGGCTCAGTTGAACAAGGAATGAGACGAAAGGGTCAGGAAGTTGTATAACAATTGTTTAAATTTGTATCAAGAAAATTATATTCTTTAATGGAATTGTATTTTACAAAAAGAAATTAAAATATTATGTTTTCAGCATTTTGCTTGATATTTTTTGATCTACCAAAGCWACTGCAATTTTTGTAAATATGACTCAATAAATGAAACCAACGAACTTCTTTCGGTTTTTGTCAATGAGTCTCGAAAGCATTTTGAGGAGGTTGGGAATTTTGATTGACGGGAGCAAATGAACAATGGCATTCTGCATTCGTTTAGCATTCGCATATTTGCGAATATTGGAGCGAATTATTGAAAAGTCGATATATTTTTATGACAAATTGCCGCAAACCAGCTCTCAAAAGTTAAAAGGCCACCACGAAGCTGTTAGTATTTTACAGGGGTACTTGTGGGTGTATCCAGCAGAGAGTAGCAATCGTCCGTCCCAAACTCCCCCGTTKCCAGTGGTATGTAAAGTAAACGTGGATTTATGTCCAAAGTGCAGTAGTCGCGCATATTAAAAATTCAGTTCTTTTTCTTTACAAATTGGATTAAATTGTGTAATTTAAATTCAAATTATATAATGAGCAAACAGATTGCGTTTTTCCGTGCGTCAGTACCCTAATAGATACAAGAAGATTTCAACATGAATGTGATGAGAAAAAATAATACGCGACGAGAAGATGTCGAGTGACGTGACCTTCTTTATGACATTTTGACGTCTTCTGTGTTTCTATTAAAGAACAAACACACGGAAAAATGGAGTTCTTTTGTTTTATATGCAATTGTCTTCCAGTGAGTGCGTAATCTCATTATAACGGTAGAGCAAACCCAACAAAGCGCGTGCACTGGTTCTGACCAATCAGAGCGCACGTAAGATTAAATGGCGTCAACTGTACGTGTGTGCTTTAAGAATACACGGTTCTCGACCAATAAAAGAGTGCGATAGCAAACTAAATTTTATATAAGTAATATTGTGTGATTATTATTTTATTTGATATCACTTTGTCTCTTGTCGTATTTTTTTTGTTCTCATCACATTTTGATTTCATCTTCGTATCTAGTCTATTAGAGTACAGACGCACGAAAAAATGGAATCTATTTGTTTACAAAAATCAAAGTTAACTATGCTAAAAAAATATACAAAAGCCTAAATTAACTCATAAATGACTGAATAGAAATGAATAGGAATCAATATACTCGCATTTCGATATTTTTGACAACTTGAATACGAGTCTTTGGGCAAACAATAGATAATCTTTTTGTTTTACTAGTGCTTCGTCTTCATTTAAGACCAATCATTCAAGCAGAATATCCATTATAGTGAACTATTGTCGTAAAAACCTCGACATCAAAGATTGAAATATATCGATATAACTTGGTTAGGAGTTTGCTTGGTTGCTTCATTGTATGGTTTGTGGTCCTTTGTGGTTGATGAGTCAACTTCTGTACAAAGACTGGAGAACAATCAATGTGGCATTTCTTTTTCCCTGTCCACTCACCTCCCCTAGACAACAAATAGGCGGCGTTTGCGTTGAACAAAACAATAATAATACATTTGCTATTCATATTTGCTATTCGTATTTATCAGGAAATAGTATCAAAAATGTAACCCTGAACACCACTACATTTCCAGCAGGGTAACGGTAGTCGCTTGTTTCGAACATACTACAATAAATCAAACATAATTTTGTCATTTTGGCCCGTTTTAAAGGGATTTTTCTCGAGCAAAATAACATGTCGTAGCTAGACTTAAGGCAAATAAGACGAGCAACTTGCCAATTCGTTTATTAGTAATAAAAGGTACATAGTCTGTTCCTTTCCACTAATGACAGAAAATCCCTCATATATCTGAAAGTGGTCGCAATTAATTTTGTCTGAAGTTCAATTATATGTCAAATGTCCACAGGGCAGTAGATATCTTGAAGCACGAAAATGGTGATCAAATTCTGTTTTGATTGGGGAGTGTTTTTTAGATCTACTGATAAACCAGACTACAAAGAAAAAAAATAATTAAAGAACGATTTGACTGTGCATGGGTACTTTTAGAATAAATGACAAAATAGATTAGCCCCATGAGTTATTGCTTTTCGATCTTTGTTTTGAAAATATWAAGWGGAAAACGATTTTATAACATACAAAGCACTTCAACTCAGCCGACCTTCAATGTATTTTTAAACCCAAAACACACGAGATAAAATACCTGATGAGGTGCGCGGGCACATTTGATCTCATTTTTTAAAATGTTTTTCGTTAATAATTTTCCAAGTTATTCAATTATGTGGTTTGTGTTRTTATTTCTAAGTAGAAACACTCGCCGTAGTTGGTATCGAGCGTKCTACAGTAATTACTACAGAAACGTTGTTTTGCTCAATCAGGAATATGTCATGTAGCGGTTTTCATTGTGAAATCCTTTGTTGATTACATATTTTACCCAAACCGAATATATTTTTTATGTGGTATTCTAAAAAGCGGTATATCGTTTTCAAAATAGTCAATTCTCAGGCTGCGACTACATTGTGTCAGATGAATTTTTAACCGTTTAAAGCACTACAGGCTTTAAATTATCTTAAAAAATTCACCTATCTGGTCGTGAAATAGTCTTACGTATTAAGGGGACGGTTGAGAAATCTGTCCGTACCATGTAAATTGGCCTTTATTATAAACTTAGCTCAATATTACGTACATACGTATAGTACTTGCTACAGCTAGATATGTGATTCCAGCGACCCTAATTTTCACKTGAAAAAATAGAATTATGTAGTATTCTAGTCATTTCTATACATCGTCTTCATATTTTGGGGTTTGATGTCGTAATGTCCCACTATAAAGCTCATCTCTGCAGCATACAAAGTAAAGACAGACCAGCGTACCCATTATCAGCAGAAACACAGTAAGCAAAAGCACAGACGAACTGTCAGTAATTCCTTGAGTTCCAAAGACCGACATAACACTGTTCCTTCTTTGAATGTAATGCTTAAATTTTCTTGAAACTAGCGTTATCCATACGCCAGTAGTATTAATGGACGGTCTCGCGGATACAAATAGAATCACTCAATTCCCACACATATTAATTCTTATAACATCCCAAGCTTGTTGTTGTCGAAAAACGGAGAAAGTCCCCTTTTTGAGCGCTCTTGATGATAGATGGATCTTGATGATGGAAGACAATCGGATTGTTTTCTTCAATACCGCAAAATCATGGTATTCATATATTCCCTTTAAACACGATCGATTAAGAATCAATGTTTGTAGGAGCACTTCGATATCATTACTTGTTCTTGTCAGTATTAAGGCTTCGAATGCACTCGTTCGTCACTGTTCCAGCGTTTGATTTCATACMCCGAAGACGCATCTGAGAAATACTGAGATATTCCGACGTGTGAAATATGCGCAGTGTTTCCAAGTGATACAACCAACTGGAAAGAACGCAAGCTCTTTGGCCGCAAATAGCCTACTGGATCATAGATAGACGAATGTGAAGCAAAAATTTTTTGTGAAGCAAAAATTATCCAACGGAGAATTCAGATTGACTGATAGCCGAACAGGAGAATCCCTTTATGGGTACTCATGCTGTGAACTAAATATCGTTCGGCCCTAAAAATCATTTACTATCATATAAAAATCATAAAAGCATTTACTATCAGCAGAGATCTCTGTATTCAAAAAATTATAACGGTAAATTGTGATTAGATTTGCAATGATTACATTATTGACTACATTGGATTAATAGTACAATCAAACTTTGATGTAGAGTGCTGCTTTGCATTTTAGAGCCCGCCGGTATGATATTTTCCATTAGCATTTCTTAAAAACTTTGTCAGGACATTTTAATCATTAGACATTAACTTTTCTTTCTGAATGTTTGTTGTATTGACAATGAATCACTGATTGTTATGTAATATTCATTATTCAAGTCCTGTTCTTAAGGAGTGAAGATTTTTGAAGTGCAGTTAGAAATTCAACGTGAATAATCCATAAATACGAAAAAGACGTAGGTCGTTAACATAGATTATATGAAAGGTAATTGCATAGGAACTTTATGAATAAATGAAAAAGGTTGCAGACATTTTCCAACAACGTAAAGTTTAAACGCAAATGGAGAAATGTGGAAATAGTAACATTGCAGTGATAAATAAAAAATAAAAAAAAGTAAAGATGAAGACGCCAAGTGCGTCCATATTATGATTTAGTTTGCATAACATTGCTGTTAAATTCAGTTTTATCGTGAAACTGATTTTGTGTCGTCGAGACGCTTTTTGACAGCAGTTAGCCACAGTTAGCCACTGGTTGAAATTTTCTAAAAAATTGGAGGTTCGACTTCTTAATATATAGTCTTACAATCATTCAAAAACGACTCGATTGCATAGTGCTTGTACAGTTATGATGATATTTTTTTCAATACGCGGATACAGTCAATGATGACTTTGTTACATTTACATCCGATCCAAGCAATCMCAATCAATTATCGGGGAAACATACACTAGATTTGCTGCTCTAAGAGACAAGTCAGATGATGACGTTCGACAAGAACTGACACAACAGTTTCCCATATTAAAAATTAACTTTTCGTCACGGACRTGACACCTCGCTGTGGAAATAGCCAGTTATAACTGAAGTACTTTTAAATGAATGTGAGGTGTTGTGTGTTCTGTGAATGAACATGGAAACGAGATCACATGGAGTGTCACATTAATTCTGTCGTTTTCTGATGAGAGCAGCTATGAACAGGAGAGAGAGGGAGAAATTCACTTAAATTAAAAGTCTCTGGTATGTGGGATACTATTAAAAATAGAGCGAATGGGAGAGCCTAAATATAGACAGGAATGAGATACAAATTGAGGAAAATGTAGTGGGAGATTTTAGGTCTGTTCTTACCAGCTCTTATGATAAAANCTTGTTACAACCTCGCCAAACATTTCTATGCAAAATTTAGTGTTTTTGAAGTGACATATCTCTTTGAATTTAAATCAGATTATTTTCAAACTTGGCAAATTTGCTGATTTTATGAAGCTTTTTCCAGTGATGTCAATGATGACAACGTAATGTAAACTTTCGAATTATCCGCGAAATGGTGTATTAGCAAATAGATTCCATTTTTTCG